GTTTATTGAAATCAGTAATTCTGTTTATTGTTTTTAACACAGATTAATAACACTTAGCCCTTAGCCTTTGTTTGAATTTGTACTAAAGTTTCCCTGCCTTAGATATCTGCAGCACGATTCCATTTTTGTTTAAACTATTACTCATGAAATGGTACTCGTTATTGAAATATTTACTCATGAAATGGTACACCTAAAAATGGATATATTAGAGTTCGGTAAAAATGATATATATTATTAGGTTGCCATTTCTAAACAAAACCACAAACAACACTTCTGATTTTGCCATTTGTTAAACCATATATTAGATTAGCTGTGCTTATTGATTAGCATATACCATCATAGTGAAACCAACTACGGATTCTGGCGAAAAGATAGAAGAAACAACAGTTGTAGACCGAATCAGTCAATTGGCGGAAGCTCTTCTCGTTCACATTCTCTCTCTTATGCCGACTGCACAAACACTCAGAACAAGTGGTCTCTCAAAAAGGTGGTGCTATCTCTGAAATTTACTTGATACATTCTCTTTTAGTACCTCTAGTTACCATGAAAGCTATGTATCCTATGTATTAGGTCATTTCGTTTCTCCAAAAATTTAAAAATTCCAACTCGCGACAGCCTTGAGCCGGATGCATGCAAGTTGAAAATATTCAACTCCAGTTAGTTTTTGAAGATGAGATTTTGTGCATTCCCTGAATATTTATACGCCTGTTCATCGTTGATAACACTAGTTTTAGGATTTTGTTATTTTAATGCTAATGTGGTCATAGCATAGAAGTTTATAAAGAGCATAAAATTGAAGTGGATAGTGTCATATATCCAATGATCATATTATAATGAACTTATTATTGGGCTTTCCTACATTAGAAGCTATGAAATTATCATGTTTTAAGGGTTTAGTCGCTTTGGAAATTAGGTCTTAAAAATTGAAAAGATTGAATTTGATATCATATAAGGATGATTAAAATATTGATCATAAGTCTTCTTAGTCTCAAGTGTAGGCTTGGAGACATGTCCTCTATGGTTAAAACGAAGCTTACGTTCAACATTATATGTATCAAAAACATCCAATAATATTTGTTGGTAGACATTCAATTCACCTTTGTCTTTGATACATATAATGTTGAACATAAGCTTAGCATCAACCACACAGACAAAAAAATTCAAAAATTCAAAAATTCAAGATAAGCTTAGTATTAACCACAGATGACGGTAGACAGTAAAGTTTTATTGATAAATCCATACTAAATTTGGATTAAATCTTAAATTCATGATATGTTGACCAAGTCAAATTATTGGTTAATAAAGTCGAATTAATATTCAAGTCAAAATGATATGACTTAAATCAAGTCCAAATAACATTTGGGCCAGTCCATTAAATTGACAAGATGAGCCCAACTCATGTTCTTCAGGCCCAAGGGTCAAAATTGCTTGGACCAAAATACCCCTAAAGCCCTAGCTCAAGCCTATATAAAGAGGTCTTCATAAGACCAGAAGAGACACACATACATACACACAGAAATACATAGTTGCTCTTCATTGGTGATCTGCAAGTCTTCCGCATACAAAGAAGTCTTCGCTCCAAGTATTGAGCCGCAAGTATTCCGCCAAATCAAGAACATCTGTGGAGAGAAGAATCAGGGATTACATATCTTTTTAAGAGATTTTATAAAGATTGTAACCTTCGCATTAATTCAAATACAAATATTATTGTTTGCTTGCTATTTTTCTTTTCCTGTTTACTGTATTTCAGGATTGAAACTTTAGGCGCTTACAATGACATGTCTACAAGCCTACACTTGAGAACATGATGTCTTCCTGAAATTTCCAACTGATGAAGATTGGAGGCAATAACTTCCACGGAATGATCAATTTCTTCATCATCATGGAATGATATCAAATTCATCTTCAATTTCGAAGACCTAATTACAAAGCGACTAAAATCCTCAATACAGGATGATTCAATAGTTTCTAATGGAGAACAGTCCAACAATAAATTCGCAATATGGTCCTTGGATAACACCATCCACTTCAATTCTATACTATTTGGAGACTTTCACGTTATGGCCACATTAACATCAAAATCTCAAAATTACTATTATCAAACGAATGTGTATAAACATTCCGGCAATGCACAACCCTCTTCTTTAGAAATTGACTCAAATTTCACATTTTCCTTTACTCAAAGTTGTCAAGCTGAAATTCTTTTATTTTGGGAGAAACAGAATTACCTAAGTCATAATCAACATAGGAAATATATTCTTCGTGGTAATTAAATGTACTAACAGAGAGAAGGTATCAAGTGAATTTCAGAGATAACGCTACCTTTTTGAGAGAGCACTTGTAACGGATATCTGATCCCGTTGTCATAAGAGAGAATGTGAAGAAAAAGAGCTTTGGGCAACTAACTGATCGGTCTACCTTTGTTTTTTCTATCTTTTCGCTGGAATGCATGGTTGGTTTTTGGTTACAGCTGTTGTTTCTTCTATTTTTTTCGTCGGAATACATGGTTTGTTGTTGGTCTAAAACTGCTGTTTCTTTAATGTTCTTGCTGGAATCCATGATTGTTTTTTGGCATAAGCAGCGAATGTGAAGGAAAAAGAGAGATCGGGCAACTGTGGTTTCCAATATGAAATTTCCTTATGTTCATAGATGGATTATTTTTTAATCATGAATTCAAGATTACCTTAATAAACCTGAAAGTAATATTGTAATAATGAAAAAGACAAATTTTCTTAATTAATTCCAATTCAGGTTTTGGTAAAAATGATGAATATTATTGGCAAAAAAAGGTTTGAATTTGTACTGAAGTTGTAGGAGTACTCAAAGTTGTAGTGCATTAAATATTTGCAGCACGAATCACTTTTCGTTTGGACTATTACTCATGAAATGGTTTAATCATGTAAAGATTGTCATTTCTAAGCAAAACCACAGACAACACTTCTGATTTTGCCATTTAAAGCATATATTAGATTAGCTGTGCTAATTGATTAGTAAATACTCGTGAACAAGACTCTTGGATACGATTTGTGATAAATATTGGGAAACAAATTGTTCTGAACATTTCCAGCAGATTCTCATCTTTGATATGATAACGGACTTCTTCAAGTCATTGCCTTCCTTAGTAGAAACTCTGAAAGTTCAAAAAGCTTATCGCCTCTTTCAAACAATGTGTTATGCAGGTGGTAATTTTAACATTCTTGAGATTGGGAAACACAATGTTTGACATCCAACTTTGCAGATTGATATTATCTCCTTTGACCAAATAGTTTCGCTCAAGTTGGCAGTGGAAATCATGAAACTGTAGCGAATAATATAATCAGGATCAAATGCAGCCTAATAGGAACATATTGGAATATTCCACAGACGACAAATAGGGAAAAAGAGTTCATTCCAGTAATGTATGATATAAAACAATTTTCAGAGGCTTAGAAAGGAAGTTCCTAATATGACTTCTCACCTTAGTGTAAATGCATGAAACACAAAATAAATACTCCAGAATACCTTATAGAGGGCAACGTATATGCTGCATGCGACAATCATAAGCTACATACGCAACAAAGAGGAGATATTAAGGAAGAGTTACCTAAGATGGGTTAGAGGATCTTGTTTTGTATTCTACAAACTGAATACAATAAACCGTGATCTGAATAGTCATCTCAAGCACTACTTTTTAAAACATGTGCAGCGACACATGATTTATGGTAGAGTGAATCAGAACACGCGAAGAAGACAAATAAGTTTTAACTTTAATTACCTTTATTCCATGGAAGCCAAAAAGTGACTGCAAAAGGGACTTGGTTAACCTTTGGGTATTTTAACAAACAAAATAATGAATCAGAATTACATATTTGAATCAAGTAAGCCCTCATATAAGTCATCACAAATACCAACAACCACAAAAGAATCATCAAAAATATAATGCTAATTCAACCTTTATCATCCTTGGAGCAATTTTTGAATAATATCATGGCGTTTTACAAAGGCAAAGATATAAAGCAGCAAAGGGCCTAGAAGAACCTTGTTTAAGAGCTTACCTCAAGAACAAATTATTTTCTTTCTAAACTCCGTCTTTTTTCATGAATTGGAATATAAGTAGTTGCAGTTGAATCACTGTTCACATCAGCTTTCATTTACCTTAATTTTTGCTTAAAACATGCATTTCAATCTTAGCTGGGGAGTCTGTTTTGCTAGACAACTCCCACAGTCTCTGTACTTCCTTTTTAAAGATGCACTGTTGATGTTTAAAACAAAAAAAAACATTGGCTTTCATGGCCATCATAAGTTCTCACCTTGGCTCTTCAGGAATAATATATCAACGACGTATGGAAAACGAATAAGCCTATCCAGAGACAGAGGCTACTACTCATTCAAAAACTGGGAATTCATAAGAAAGGATAGGAGAAATAATAGAAGTTTTGCAAAACTCGGGAAGGATACCGTGGGCATGCAGAGACATGTTTTAGAATGTCATTTATCTCCCAACAACTTTCTTCTTATTATTAGTTGATATTTTTACCACTTGATCTCCTACCAGAGTCCGGCCTCTAACTTTGAACAACACTCAATGCCATTTACATGATAATTTAGATGTACCATTATATATCTATCACCGTGACACCAAAATGATCAAAGGATGATAACTACAACTATTATTGCCACAAACAAATTGAAAAAAGAATCAACACAAATCCACATATTAAAGCTGATCAGACTAGCTATAACTTAAGCAGATCTCGAGTAGTATTCGCTCAAGCAAAAAAAGAATTCAAATAAGGGTTGGCTAATCAACATGAGTTCCATTGATTCTCAAACATAAGCGCTAAGGGATAAATTGCTAGCAAAAAGTCAACCGAACACAATGAAAAACCATGGGCTGACAGATACATGCACTGGGAAGAAATAATTACCAAAAAGCTAGGCTAAAAGTGGAAATTTTTAGTTGAAAGATTCAGTCTTTCAATGATTTCTTAAAGGGTGAATGCCTTGAATTTCAAAAAAAAAAATGTGGGATGTATTTACACCAAAAAGTAATTTTCCTTACCTGAACCTATTGGATATCTGACACATTCAAAGTAAATCATTGAGTTACATTGACAATATAAAAGGGAGAAAAAGGTAAGTAAAATTGCCAGACAAAGGTTAAATGGAATGTCTACCAGCTTTACAGTCCCATGAATCATGATCTTGCGTAACTGAAAGCATTAGTTCCTAATCCTGAACTGGATTCAAGGTGCTCTTTACTACAGTTGCTTGTACTCTCTGAATAAAAGAACTAGGTAAGAAAGAGATACACACAAAATCCATTTCTACTTGTCAGTTCAATGAGGGAGAGTATGTATAAGTTGGAGTGTACAGAGTCACAAAATCTAAAACATGCCAAGTAAATCCAAGAATATTTTGTATTATATACTTTCTATTCACACCAAGTAAAAGAAAGGGGAAAATGGACAAATTACAGGGAGAGAGCAGTGATAAATGACAAATGGAAGAAATGAAAATGAATGAAGAGAAACGTAAGACTTTGACGATTTGGGCACTTAAAAGAGTAAAACGCGGTATAATTAATGTGAAACTCCAAGAGCTCCTTTGGTCGTCGACAAGACCTAAAGTTGTAGACCAAATCAGTCAATTGCCGGATGCTCTTCTCCTTCGCTCTCTTATACCGAGTGATCAAACACTCGTAACAACAGCTCTCTCAAAAAGGTGGCGCTATCTCTGGAATTGACTTGATACCTTTTGTTTTAGTACTTTTAATTACCATGAACGATATGTATCCTATGTTCATTATGTATTAGGTTATTCCATTTTTTTCCAAAATTAAAAAATCCAACTTGATAGCCTTGAGCTGGATGCACACAGGTGGAAAATATGAAACTCCAGTTAGTTTCGGAAGAAGAGGTTTGTGCATTGCCTGAATGTTTATGCACTTGTTCATCGTTTATGGTAGAGTGGATCAGAACACGCGAAGAAGACAAATAAGTTTTAACTTTAATTACCATTATTCCATGGAAGCCAAAAAGTGACTGCAAAAGGGACTTGGTTAACCTTTGAGTAATTTAACAAACAAAATAATGAATCAGAATCACATATTTGAATCAAGTAAGCCCTCATATAAGTCATCACAAATACCAACAACCACAAAAGAATCATAAAAAATATAACGCTAATTGAACCTTTATCATCACTGGAACAATTTTTGAATATAAAGGCAAAGATATAAAGCAGCTAAGGGCCTAGAAGAACCATGTTTAAGAGCTTCACTCAAGAACAAATTATTTTCTTTCTAAACTCCGTCTTTATTCATGAATTGGAATCTAAGTAGTTGCAGTTGAATCATTGTTCACATCAGCTTTCATTTACCTTAATTTTTGCTTAAAACATGCATTTCAATCTTAGCAGGGGAGTCTGTTTTGCTAGACAACTCCCACAGTCTCTGTACTTCCTTTTTAAAGATGCACTGTTGATGTTTAAAAGAAAAAAAAACATTGGCTTTCATGGCCTTCATAAGTTCTCACCTTGGCTCTTCAGGAATAATATATCAACGATGTATGGAAAACGAATAAGCCTATCCAGAGATAGAGGCTACTACTCCTTCAAAAACTGGGAATTCATAAGAAAGGATAGGAGACATAATAGAAGTTTTGCAAAACTCGGGAAGGATACCGTGGGCATGCAGAGACATGCTTTAGAATGTCATTTATCTCCCAACAACTTTCTTCTTATATTATTAGCAGGTCGATATTCTTACCACTAGATCGCCTACCAGAGTCTGGCCTCTAACTTTGAGCAACACTCGATGCCATTTACATGATGATTTAGATGTACCATTATATATCTATCACTGTGACAGCAAAATGATCAATGGGTGATAACTATTATTGCCACAAACAAATTGAAAAAAGAATCAACACAAATCCACATATTAAAGCTGATCAGACTAGCTAAAACTTAAGCAGATCTCGAGTAATATTCGCTCAAGCAGAAAAAGAATTCAAATAAGGGTTGGCTAATCAACACGAGTTCCATTTATTCACAAAATAAGCGCTAAGGGATAAATTGCTAGCAAATGTCAACCGAACACAATGAAAAACCACGGGCTGATAGATACATGCACTTGGAAGAAATAATTACCAAAAAGCTAGGCTAAAAGTGGAAATTTTTAGTTGAAAGATTAAGTCTTTCAATGATTTCTTAAATGGCTTGAATTTTTTTTAAAAATGTGGGATATGATCAGTGCGCATTGGAAGAAATGATTACCAAAACTTAGGCTAAAAGTAGAAAGTTGTAGTTAAGTAGATTTAGTCTTTCAGAGAATTCTGAAGTATTCTCTACTACTATTACTAACAACAACAAGTGGGGGTGTGGGAGGGTGAGATGTATTTACACCAAAAAGTATTTTTCCTTTCTTGAACCTATTGGTTATCTGACACATTCAAAGTAAATCATTGAGGAGTTACATTGACAAAATAAAATGGAGAAAAAGGTAAGTAAAATTACCAGACAAATGTGAAATGGAATGTCTACCAGCCTTACAGTCCCATGAATTGGATTCAAGTTGCTCTTTACCACAGTTGCTCGTACTTTCTGAACAAAAGAACTAGGTAAGAAAGAGACACACACACACAAAATCGATTTCTACTTTTTAGTTCAATGAGGGAGAGTATAAGCTGGAGTGTGCAGCGTCACAAGATTTAAAACATGCCAAGTAAATCCAAGAATGTTGTGTATTATACTTTCTATTCGCACCAAGTAAAAGCAAGGGGAAAATGGAGAAATTAGAGGGAGAGAGCAGTGATAAATTACAAATGGAAGAAATGAAAATGAATGAAGAGAAGCATAAGACTTTGACGAATTGGGCACTTAAAAGAGTAACACGCGGTATAATTAATTTGAAACTCCAAGAGCTCCTTTGGTCGGTCGTCCACAAGACCTAAAGCTGTAGACCAAATCAGTCAATTGCCGGATGCTCTTCTCCCTCGCTCTCTTATACTGAATGATCAAACACTCATAACAAGCGATCTCTCAAAAAGATGGCGCTATCTCTGGAATTTACTTGATACCTTATGTTTTAGTACCTTTAATTACCATGAATGATATGTATCCTATGTTCATTATGTATTAGGTTATTCCGTTTCTTCCAAAATTAAAAAATCCAACTTGATAGCCTTGAGCCGGATGCACACAAGTGGAAAATTGAAACTCCGGTTAGTTTCTAACGAAGAGGTTTGTGCATTGCCTGAATGTTTATGCACTTGTTCATCGCTGATAACACTAATTTTGGGATTTTGATGCTACTGTGTCCATAGCATGAAAGTCTCTAAAAGCATAAAATTGAAGTGGATAGTGTTATCCAATGACCATATTGTGAACTTACTGTTGGGTTGTCCTGCATTAGAAACTATCGAATTATCTTGTTTTAAAGGTTTTAGTCGCATGGAACTTAGGTCTTCAAAATTAAAGAGACTGAATTCGATATCATACAACAATGATGAAGAAATTGATCATTCCTTGGAAATTGTTGCCCCCTATCTTCATCATTTGGAAACTTCAGGAAGTCTTCATGGTCTCAAGTGTAGGCTTGTAGACATATCCTCCATGGTTAATACTAAGCTTATGTTCGACATTACATGTATCAAAGACATGTAACATGCGGTATAATATTGGATGTCTTTGACGGATGTAATGTTGAACATAAGCTTAGTATTAACCACATATGACATGGTTACAAGCCTACACTTAAAAACATGATGACTTTCTGAAATCTCTAAATAATGAATGTAGTGTAGGAGACAACAATTTTCACGAAATGATCTATTTCTTGATCATCATTATATGATATCAAATTCCTCTTCAATTTCAAAGACCTAATTTCAAAGAGACTAAAATCCTTAAAACGAGATGATTCCATAGTTTCTAATAGAGAACATTCCAACAATAAATTCACAATATGGTCTTTAAATAATACCATCCATATCAATTTTATACTATACGGAAACTTTCACGTTATAACCAAATGGCATCAAAATCTCAAAATTATTATTATCAAATGAATGTGTATAAACATTTTGACAATGAACAAATCTCTCCTTTAAAAACTGACCTAAGTTTCACATTTTCCCTTGATCAAAGTTGTCAAGATGAATTTTTTTAATTTGGGAGAGAAACAAAATTACTAAGCCATAATCAACCTAGGATACATATCCTTCGTGGTAATTAAAGTTACTAAAAGAGAAGATATCAAGTAAATTTCAAAGATAAAGCTACCTGTTTGAGAGAGCACTTGTTACGGATATCTGATCCCGTTGGCATAAGAAAGAGACTGTGAAGAAAAAGAGCTTCAGGAAACTAACTGATCGGTCTACCGTTGTTGTTTCTTCTATCTTTTCACCGGAATCCATGACTGGTTTTTGGTTACAGCTGTTGTTTCTTCTATTTTCTCAGCTAGCTGGAATCCATGGTTTTTTGTTGGTCTATAGCTGTTGTTTCTTTTATCTTCTCGCCGGAATCCATGATTGTTTTTTCGGCATAAGCTGCGTATGTGAAGGAGAAGAGCGATCCGGCAACTGAATGGTCGATCTACAGCTGTTGTTTGCCGGAATCCAGAAATGCTTAGAAGGTATCGCCCCCCTTTCCCTTCAGTTTTAACTTATGCACAAAATGAGCAAATTGAATAATATATTGGCATAAATTTGGTACACTTTTGATCCAATTTTGATATAATTATTTAAACAAAATGTATTTAAATTATGTGAAATTGAACAAAGTAAGTCTTAATATGTATTTATTATTAATAATTTAGTCTATAAATACTCATATTGTTACTTAATGAGTTAAAAATGTTTCTTTCCTGATAAATATGTATATATTTTTTTAAAACACATTTTATTCCTAATAAAATATTATTTTTAAAGAATATTATTTTTCTTGTAAAACTTAAGAACAAATGAACAATATAAAAAGGAAGACAAGAAGAATATAAGACAAGAGAAATAATATAAGATCACTTTCTTTCTTTCAAGTGTATTCAACATTATTCTCAACACCACTATTTATAGGATTACATTGAGGAATACCAAAGGATGTCATAAACATTACATTAAACCTTGAGAATTACTAACCATTAAGGAGGAAATAAACCTAGGAGTTATGCTCATCCATTTGACCACATTATCAACAACATTACTACTCATAAAGGAGGGAAATTAACCAAGGAGTTATGGTCATCCATTTAACCACCAAAATGATTTACAACACTCCCCCTTGGATGACCATTGATAGATAATATGCCTCGTTAAAACCTTACTAAGAAAAAAACTCTGTGGGAAAAAATCTTAGTGAAGGACAAAAGAGTACACATATCTTGTTATATGCTTTATTTGCTGCCTCGTTAAAAATCTTGTCAGGAAAACCCATTGGGATAAAACCTAGGCCAAGGGAAAAAGAGTGCAGCGTGTAGTTTACTCCCCTTGTTGCAAACATCATTTAATTTCTTGGAGACGACGCATTCCAATCTTGAATACCAACTTTTCAAATGTTGAGGTTGGTAATGCTTTAGTGAAAAGATCCGCTAAATTATCAACTGAGCGAATTTGTTGAACATTTATTTCACCTTTCTTCTCAAGATCATGAGTGAAAAAGAATTTTGGTGAAATGTGTTTTGTTCTATCTCCTTTAATATATCCTCCCTTCAGCTGAGCTATACATGCAACATTGTCTTCATACAATGTAGTTGGTATATCCTTTTTCATAGGAAAACCACACATTTCTTGAATATGTTGAGTTATTGATCTCAACAAAAACACACTCCCGACTTGCTTCATGGATGGCTATTATTTCTGCATGATTTGAAGAAGTAGCAGCTAATGTTTGCTTCATTGAACGCCAAGATATAGTTGTGCCTCCATATGTAAATAAATAGCCTATTTGAGATCGAGCTTTATGTGGATCAGAAAAATATTCAGCATCTGCATAACCAATCATTTCTAACTTGGATTTATTAGAATAAAATAATCCCATATCAATGGTTCCCTGAAGATATCTGAATATATGTTTGACTCCATTCCAATGTCTCTTTGTTGGGGACGAGTTGAATCTTGCCAATAAACTTACTGCAAAACAGATATCTAGTTGAGTATTATTAGCAAGATACATTAGTGCCCCAATAGCACTAAGATATGGAATTTCATCGCCAAGAAGCTCTTCATCATTTTCGTGAGGTCGAAATGGATCTTTATATATGTCAAGCGATCTCACAACCATCGAGGTACTCAATGAATGTGATTTATCCATGTAAAATCGCTTTAAAACCTTTTTTGTGTATGTTGATTGATGGACAAAAATTCCATTTTTCAAATGCTCAATCTGTAGGCCAAGACAAAATTTTATCTTACCACGATCTTTCATTTCAAATTCTTTCGTTAAACACTCAACAACTTTTGAAAGCTCTTTAGGAGTGCCAATGATATTTAAATCATCAACATACACAGCTATTATAACAAAATCAGATCCAGAACTTTTTATAAAAACACAAGGACAAATAGGGTCATTTTTGTACCCTTTCTTTAGCAAAAATTGGCCAAGACGATTGTACCACATCTGTCCTGATTGTTTTAATCCATATAAGGATTTCTGAAGCCTTAAGCATATAAAAATTCACAAGAAAACAATCAGGACGGATGTTGTCACAACCTATTTATATGGCTCATTGGACCACGATATATATATATATATATATAAAAACTAAAAGTGGGAAGCTATGAAAAGTTAAATTATCATTTTACCCTTAGGCTAAATTAAACATCTAATTAATAAATTATTAAATAATAATATTTTAATTATTATTTGAATTGTTAGTTATTTATTATAAAGACAATGAAAGAATCATTATATTTATTTTAATAGTATTTGACATTTCAATTTTTCATGTGACTTTTCATGTTTCCGTAATTTTTGGGAAGCTCCAAAGATGAAAAGTTAGATCGCCATTTTACCTAGGCTTAATTAAACATCTAATTAATTAAATATTAAATAATAATAATTTAATTATTATTTCAATTGTTAGTTATTTATTATAAAGAGAATGAAAGAATCATTATATTTATTTTAATAGTATTTGACCTTTCAATTTTCCATGTGACTTTTCATGTTTCCGTAATTTTTGTCCTAAAAATTTAACCTTTCCAAGAAAGACTTTTATTTACCACTCCTACAATTCTTGTATGTAGGAGCTCTAAACAGGTGAAATAATGTCACAATTTGTGGTGAAAGTTGTGAGATCCCCTTATACAGTGATGGGAATAGACAAGAATTCAACTATTGAAGCATCGAAGGTTGGTGTGTTAGTTTTATACTTATTTGTAATTATTAGAATTATAATAAGACTTTTCTATCTCTCTTCATATAGCTGAATTGTTGTTTTGTTAGCAACTTGCTCTAATTTCAATTTTTTATTTTTGTATGCTCAAATATTCAGTTTTTATTATAGAGACAAACACAAAAAAAAAAAAAAAAGCCTAATTGTCTTGGTCATGTGTATCGTTTTTTTTTTGTTCTTTGTACTTATAATTTTACATATACATTAACTTTCATCTTAAAGAATGAATGTGAGAAAATGTTTACTCTTTTTTTTTTTTTTGGAAAAAAGAAGAAGAAGAAGGTGAAACATATAGTTGAATTATGGTTTTACCCTACTATAAATTAAAATGTTATAAAATATTTAATTATTTAATTTAAATATTAAATTGGTTCATTTTAATTAACATGTTAATGATTTTGCACTTTCTTATATTAATTCCTAATTAAAATATCTAATTTAATAATACTTATCATCTATAATCTATATGTATACAATAAGAAATTAATAATCATATATCATATCATCTCATATTATACTAACAGTGGGAAGAATGTTAGGCAAAAATTAGATTAGCATTTTGTCCCTACATCAAATACAAATACTATTAATCATCTAATAAATTATTAATTAAATATTAAATAGTAAATTTTAATTACTACAAGGGAGAGTTACACATTAAGCCGATATCAAATTTATCAAATTCTTTCGGTTACAATTTATTCATGTTGCATGGTGAATTAATATTAAATTGTTATAAGTAATTATTATCAAGAAAATAAAAAGACTCCTAATTATATTGTTCAATGAATTAAAGGTGAAGACCAAAAGTTACATAATTAAGTAGGAAACTGATGGGCCTTTTATTTTTTTCCCTTTCATCTCCCCTCACCTAAGATTTTCCTATTTAAAGTCACCTAGAAAGGAAAATGAACTTATAAATCTCATATCTGATCTTCTTACTAAAGTATATCAATGTCAATTCTCTCTTATAAATTAAGATTCATTTTCTTATCTTTGGTATATCATTTTTTTTTTATTTCCTTTCTGGTCATAGTCATAGACCGCAGAAGAAAAGTTGTCATCAATCTTTGTAGAATTGTTAAGGACAATACCATTATTATTGTATTTGGATCGAAAACATTATGATTGATTGATTGATTAATTGTAAATAATGTTTGAAAGGAAATAATACTTTTTTATCATGTTGTATGATTTACAACAAAATAATAAATTATTTATATTATTTTATGTAAAGTGTTGATAGTGATGACCATTTGTAGGTGATTTTTGTATTAATTTTAAATGTTCTATTATAATGTATTCTTTTCTTATTCCTTTTTAGTTAAATATGTTCTTTGCTTATATAAAGAAATTTGTGTCTAGATTACAATTAAATAGATATTACTTATTTAGACTTTATATAATTATTGGCGTGGAACATGTACAATATTATATTTCTTATTTCCAAATGAAATTAAAAATTATCTCAATGAAAGATTAAATATTTTATCATACGCCAGATCATTTGTGTTTTACATGGATAATATGAAATATTTGGCAGATATATTGAATGACTATACATGCATTTATAATTAGTTCATTATCTCATGAATTAGTATATTGTCTCTTTAATCAATAATAAAGAGATCTAAAAGTATAAAGTTCATTATCAGTGATCCATATAAAATTAGATAACTATTTTAATTTTCAAACTAACACTCTTACTCTAACAATTATCTGTGTAACACTAATTGGTGAAAATTCTTCCTATATCCACCATCATCTATACTTTTTAGTGCAACATAAATCCTATAAATACTTAACATTTACATCTCAAACATTATAATAAGATGTCTATAAGGACTTATGTGAAGCACGATTGTCATATACTATAAGTTTATAGTAATGGGTACACTTGGCTAAATGCGTGACACACGTAATAAGATGGATGTCTAAGGACTTATGTGGAGCACAATTGTCATATATTATAAGTTTATAGTAATGGGCACACTTGGCTACACGTGTGACGCGCGTACCCAGAAACTAGTTAAATAAATATTGAAGACAATATTATGTTTAAGAAAAGGGTGCTACACGTACTATCTATGTCCTAGCAGCGTGAATCCGGATTAGTTAGCTCAATGGGTATACTTATGGAACTTGTCTTGCACAAAGTTAAAAAAACAATGATCTTCATGGTCCTATCAATGAATTAGATGATACATCTTTTTTTTTTTTTTAACAAAACCTTTCCAATATGAAATTTCCATATGTTCATAGATGGATTATTTTAAATCACGAATTCAAGATTATCTTAATAAAAAGGGATAAGGGTCTGAAAAATACCCAATTTTGGCCGAAATTGCTGTTACGATACCAAACTTTATGGAGGACCTATTACCCCCCTGAACTATTTAATAGTGTATTTTAAAGGTATATATGTGCTCACGTGGCACATTACTATTTATAATTTTGCATTATTTTTTATGTCCACGTGGGCAAATATATATATTTAAAATACGGTATTAAATAATCTGGGGGGTAATAGGTCCTCATTAAGGTTTGGTATCGTAACAGCAATTTCGGCCAAAGTTAGAGTATTTTTCAGACCCTTATCCCTAATAAAAACTGAAAGCAATTTCGTAATAATGAAAAAGACAGATTTTCTTAATTCTAGTTCAAGTTTTGGTAAAAATGGTGAATGTTGCCTAAAAAGGTTTGAATAGTTGAATTTGTACTAAAGTTGCAGTGCCTTAAATATTTGCAGCACTAATCACTTTTCGTTTGGACTATTATTCATGAAATTGTACACCTAAAAATGGATATGTTAGAGTTCGGTAAAAATTATGTAAAGATTTTTATTTCTAATTAAAACCACAAACACTTTTGATTTTTCCATTTAAAGCATATATTAATTAGCTGTGCTAATTGCTTAACATATTACATATGCCATCAAAGTGAATAAAGAAAATGCTTCATAAGAAACCAAGATACCATAACATTTGGTATACCACAAGGGTAATTCCAATAGTAATTAGTTACAAACATACATAGAGAAGTTAAGGATTCCATGAGTAGTTTATCAAAAACTCTACATTTTTAGTATCTTGAGACATGAAACTACTAGTGGTGAACTCATGGAAAGCTCACTCATGGAAGATAATCTCAGAATTGGTAGACGATCTTGGACAACCTAACAAGTTGTCAGCCAATCGAGATAAAAATTGGGATAGACAGTTAATTGAACATGTCTCGCACCTTCTTTTCTTTGATACGATAACGAAATTCTCCAAAACCAGTGCATTCAGTAATAGAAATTCTAAAAGCTTGGAAACCTTTTCAAATCCCCTTTTGACATGATCTTTCAAGCACGCCTCTGAGGAGATGACAATCTTAACCTTCTTGAGGTTGTGATACTCTACGCTTGAAACCCCACTCAGCAAATCCATATCATCTCCTTTGGCCAAATCAAGTAACTCAGATTTGCAGCGGAAATCGTCAAGAAAGTAGAAAGGGAAATCATCTAACTGAGACAAAAAATTTAATCAGGACCAAATGTAGGTCAGATTAAATGAAATTGCACAAATGTGATAGAAACTTCAACCAAATGAAAAGATTTAAAAAGAAGAGATAAGTTCCAGGAAGTTACCTGCGTAGTTTCCACATGAGGCGAGGCTCTCAAAAGACCAGCTACTCCGTACATATTAAATATTTTCATATGCAACACCAGCGTTAGATATTTGCAATTCAATTCTGAAACGGGCACCCCGTTGAACTGCAACATGCACATGACTTGGTGCAGTAATCCCAATGAAACTAGTAAAACAATGGAGAAAGAAATAACAACGAAACGGAAGTATTTCACATCAGACAGAACCTTACTTTGAAAACTTGACAGGAGGATTACAAAAAGGCATACAATAGGCCATTAGTTTCTATAACTAATTCTACTACTGTCTGCTTAACCAAAGAAGGGGTAAGGACTTTCGAGTTAAAGACATACCTCTGTGAACCAAGTTCCCATTGTTAGCTCAGTTGCATCACATAACTTTTGAAGATTATTTTGGACGAGGGAATATACTGTTTGATGATAGTCACGGCAGCTGTCTCCCTCATAAAAACTTGGGATGTCTTTGCTAAAGGCAATGCTGAAAATAAGCTCAGCATGAATGACAGAAGACACATGCATCAACAAGTCTACACTTGAGATTATAAAGTTCTCCTGATATTTCCAAATGCTGAAGATATGGGGCAAGAATTTCTAAGTCATTTCCATTTTCAGGAAATTGATAATCTTTCAACTTTAATGTCTGTAAAAGCAAAGAATTACTTTCCAGGCGACGGAAACCATGATACGAATATAATTCCATTGTTTCCAATGCTGGACAGCCTGACAGTAATTTCACCATTTCATCATCGGTTAGCATCAAATGCCCCAACTTTATACTCTTTAGAGAGTTCCACGATATGACCGCGTTATTAAAGCCACAATGTTTAACATCTAAAGTTATCAACGACGAACATGTGCAGAAAGATTCAGGCAATGTGCACTCATAACTATACTGAAACCAAAATACAACATTTTCCACTTGTCTTTCAACAGAAAAACAAAAACAATGACTGACTAGGGTTTCATATTCAGTCCTGAAACTGCAATCTGATAGACACAAGTGAGAAAAGTCGAGTTGGAACTTTTTAATTTTGGGAGAGAGGGTATGTGCTAATGCATTATGAATCAAGGAGAAATCTTCTCTTTCCCGGTAAGTGAAATTGAAGCTATGAATTAAAGTCGAGAGACGCTGCCACTCTTTAGAGATAACACAAGTTCTGAATGCATCCTCTGTTGGCAGAAGTGAGAAAATTTCAACTAGGAGTGGATGCGGCAACTTACTGATTCCTTTTGGTGCTTCTTCCTCTGTTACATTTTGCTTCTTCAGATTTGTCAACTCCATCGGTAAAAGAGGGAAATCAATGTTCCATTGGTTTGTTTGTGTTTATCTCAGGCAATAAAATGCTTTGATAGATCAGTATTACCTACCACACACATCTTCTATATATATACTATCTTAAAAGTCAAGATCTTCAGAATTTAAATTTAAAAGCTAAATTACTTAAATGTCCCTCTTATAAAAACATGCGCCGCTTCAATCCGGCTAATAATTAAATAAATATTGAAGACAATATTATGTTTAAGAAAAGGGTGCTACAAGCGCTAGCTATTCCTAGCAGCATGCATCCGGATTTGTTAGCTCAATGGGTATCGGAAAATAGATTCTTTAAATGTATGTCTACCTACTTATGGAACTTGTCTTGAACAAAGTTAAAAAATAAAGATCTTCATAGTCCTATCAATGAATTAGATGATACATCATTTATTTTATAACAAAACCTTTCCAATATGAATTTTCCATATGCTCATAGATGGATTATTTTAAACCATGCACAAATTCAAGTTTACCTTAATAAACTGAAAGTAATTTCGTACTAATGAAAAAGACAGATTTTCTTAATTCCAATTCAAGTTTTGGTAAAAATGATGAATGATGCCTAAAAAGGTTTGAATTTGTACTAAATTTGCAGTGCCTTAAAAATATTTGCAAACACAAATCACTTCTCGTTTGGACTATTACTCATGAAATGGTTTACTCATGAAATTGTAGACCTAAAAATGGATGTAATAGATAGTTTGATAAAAGTTATGTAAAGATTGCCATTTCTAAACAAAACAACAAACAACACTTCTAATTTTGCCATTAAAAGCATATATTAGATTAGCTGTGCTAATTGATTAGTATATACCATCAAAGTGAATAAAGAAAATTCTTCATAAGAAACCAAGATACCATAACAAGGGTAATTTCAATAGTAAAACTAGTAATTAGTTACATACATACAAAGAGAAGTTAAAGCTTCCATGAGTAGTTTATCAAACACTCAACATTTCTAGTATCTTGAGACAGGAAACTACTGGAAGATAATCTCAGAATTGGTGGACGATCTTGGACAACCTAACAATTTGTTGTGCAATCGAGATAAATAATGAGATAGACAGTTCATTGAACATGTCACGCACCTTCTTCTCTTTGATATGATAACAAACTTCTCCAAAACCGGTGTACGCAATAACAGAAATTCTGAAAGTTTGGAATGCTTTTCAAAGCCCCATTTGACATGATTTTTTAAGCACATCTTCGAGGAGATGACAATCTTAACCTCCTTGAGATTGTGAAAATCACCTCTTGAAACCCCACTCTGCAAATCCATATTATCTCCTTTGGCCAAATCAAGTAACTCATAGTTGCAGTGGGAATTGACAAGAAAGTCGACGGACCAATCATCTAACTGGAGACAAAATATAATCAAGACCAAATGCAGGTCAGATCAAATGAAATTGCACAAATGTGACAAAAACTTCAACCAAATGAAAAGATGTAAAAAGAAGAGACAATTTCCAGGAAGTTACCACCGTAGTTTCCAATTCTAAGCTGATTGTTTCCACATGTGGCGAGGCTCTCAAAAGACCAGCTCCTCCGTACAAATTAAACTTTTTCATATGCAACACCAGCGTTAGATATTTGCAAGTCAATTCTGAAATGGGCAACCCTTTGAATTGCAACATGCACATAACCTGGTGCAGTAATCCCAACGAAACTAGTAAATAATGGAGAAAGCAATAACAACAAAAGGGAAATACTTCACAAATCTAATTGTGTAAACTCAGATCTAAGAAGCATCAATGTAAGGACTTTCGAGTTAAGGACAAACCTGTGTGAACCAAGTTCCAAATGTTAGATCAGTTCCATAACATAACTCTTGAAGATTATCTTGGACGAGGGTATATACAACTTGATGATAGTCATGGAAGCAGTAGTACTCTTCCCCATAAATACTTGGGAAGTCTCTGATACAGGCAGTGCTGAAAATAAGCTTAGCATTAACTACAGAAGACACATCAACAAGCCTACACTTGAGATCTTCTCCTGATATTTCCAAATGTTGAATATACGGGGCAAGAATTTCTAAGTCATCTCCATTTCCAGCAAACGTAAGATAATTTTTCAACTTTAGTGTCTTTAATTTTAGAGAATTAATTTCCAGGCGACGGAAACCAACCTAGCTATATAATTCCATTGTTTCCAATGCAGGACAGCCTGACAATAATTTCACCATATCATCATTGGTTAGCTTCAAATACCCCAACTTTATACTCTTTAAAGAGTTCCACGATATGATTGCTTTATTAAAGTCACAATTTTGAACATCTAGAGTTATCAACGACGAACATGTGCAGAGAGATTCAGGCAATGTGAACCTATTACTATACTGAAACCACAACACAACATTTTCCACTTGACTTTCAACAGCAAAACTAAAACAACGACTGATTAGGATTTCATACTCAAGCCTGAAACTGCAGTCTGATAGACGCAAGTGAGTTAAGTCGAGTTGGAGCTTTATAATTTTGGAAGAGAGGGAATGTGTTAATGCATTATGAATAAAGGATAAATCTTCTCTTTCCCGGTAAGTGAAATTGAAGCTATGAATTAAAGTGGGGAGATGCCGCCACGTTGTAGAGACTAGACAAGTTGTGAATGCATCCTTTGTTGGGAGAAGTGAGAGAATTTGAACGAGGAGTGAATCCGGCAACTTATTGATTGGTGCTTCTTCCTCTGTTACCTTTTGTTTCTTCAGATTTGTCAACTCCATGATTATCGCCAAAAGAGGGATATCGATCGATTGCTTTCTTTGTTTTTATTTCAGGCAATAAAATGCTTTGTCAGATATTCTATATATGTATATTATATATACACACTATCTTAAAAGTCACGATCTTCAGAATTTGAATTTAAAAGTTAAATTACTTAAATTCCCCTCTTATAAAAACAGGCGCCGCTTCAACAAATTTGTAATGTTTAGAAGAAGAGTTGCCACCGTGTCTTGAAAATCAGCGTTATTGTAATTTTCTCAACATTTAGTTTATTGCTCGACATTGAAAGTATGAGTGGAGTGGGGCTTTTACTCTTAAGAAATTAGTAGTAATTTAGATATGAGTGTTGCACAATCTGTGTTTAAAAACAGTACTACTGATTACAAATAACTTTGCAAAAACACGAAGTTACCAAAGTTTCATTAACCAGTGAAGAACATAAGAACATAATTTAATTCAAAAAACTAAAACCTGTAAAAACATACCAGAATCTGTAAAAAATAGAACAGGAAGAAGATCAAGCCCACTGAATGCACAGTGTCCCCTTAAGAAAATTATTCCCCTCTAGTATCCGAGGTTTGATTTGGAATATGTCCCCCGTTTGATTTGGAATATGTCCTCCCAGGATAGAATGATCTCAATCACCAGTGTATTGATACCCAAAACTCTGGTGTCAGCGATCCACTCAACGACGGTAAAGTACACAAAAAATATTTGTGCAGAAGAAGAAGAAATCAGAAATTTTCGTAAGTAAAAAATTTGAAGAATCAGTGGTATTTATAGCCAAGAAGCACTGGTTCCAAAAGGTTGCAACCTTTCAGAAACCATACGACCATTCCAGAAAGTTTGCAACCTTTCAAACAGTCATGGTTGTTCTTGAAAGTTGCAACCTTTCAGAACTGTAACACCCGGCGATTTGAAATAATTATGAAGAGGCTTAGAATTGGAAATAGTCATTTTTGGAAAGATTTAAAAATCTGGAAATTTGGCTAAGTATGGAAAAAGGTGAGTTTTTGACCAACTTTGAGCAGTCATAACTACTAACTCAGGATGATTTAGGTGTATTTCCAGTTATGGTTGCTAAGCTCGTGGAATGATCTTTCCAACACCACCAAGTTTGCTCGATTCCGAGTTCGTATGAGTGAGTTATGCCCTTTGAAAGTTGGGCAGTTGGCAGGGAATCCGTCCGGA